TAGAATATTTAAGTGTTGCTGATCTCAAAAATATAAAAGCAATGTCTAAGATTAATAAAACTTCCTGTTAAGTCCTGTGATTAGAGAAGATTTATCTTTGTGAAAATTATCATAAAACAAAATGTAAGATTAGGATACGTGCCATTGCATCGCCAGCAATGATCGAAAATCTATTAAAATTGTGTAAATTGCTTACCTATTTTTATATCAAGTTTGCGAAAATATTAATTTTAAGTTGTATGTTTAATATAAGACTGTTTGTAAGACTGATATTTTTAAATAAAAGTTTTTTTCTTAATGTACATGCTCTTTGAATATGATTTTTGTCTTTATGGTTTATTTAAAAGCATTTAACAGTGATTACACTGCACCTATTTATCACAATCAATTAGTTTATAATGTTCTACGCCGTCTTCTGATTTCCAGTCTCCATTTATCTCGGTCGTTCCAAAGTTTTCTTCAACTCCCCTTTACTTTAAGTCTTTATCGATTCCTTCTCTAAAACTTAATCTCAGCCTACCTTGCTTTCTTCTTCCATGCGGTGTCCAGGTCAATACTTTTTTTGGTATTTCTTGTTCATCCATTCTTTGGGCGTGTCCATACCCTCTTAGTTGATTTATTATGATTTCCTCTGTTATATTCTGCTTAACACTCATAATTTCTCGTATTCTTTCGTTTCTAACTCTGTCTAATCTTGATTTTCCTGCCGCTCTTCTCTAGAAGTCCATTTCTGTTGCTTCTAAGCTTTTAAGTGTTTTTCTTTCAGTGTCCATACCTCACTTCCTTATGTAACAATGCTGTTATAGATTTTGTTTGTTTTGTTTTTTGAGATTGTTTTGTCCCACAGCACACTAGTTGATTGCCTAATGGTTTGTCTTCCCTGGTTATTTCTATGTTTAATTTCTTCGTCTAATTTGACATCTTTGGTTATTTGCAAGCCTAAATATTTATATTTTTGGCAGTGATTTATTTCTCGCTGTATTTTCTTCAAGATTAGATTTTGTTGAATTCCCCCAATACACATTTATTCAGTTTTCTTGATATTTATTTTTAGCCCCCATAGTTCGTATTCTTCGATAAGTTTACGGCTCATATATTCGAGGCCCTCATGGTCTTGGGCCATCACTATCTGGTCGTCTGCAAAACTCAATCTGTACAATATTGCGTCGTTTAGAGGAATTCCCATGTTTTTACATTTTCTTTTCAACGTCTTCATTGCTTGCTCTGAATACATTATAAATAAAGTAGGAGACAGGCAGCATCCTTGTTTCAGTCCTTTGCTGATAGTGAAACTCTTTGGAAGTGAAAACTTCCTGACCTTTCTTTATTATACTTGTGTTGTTCTTGTAGAGGTCTTGAACAGCCTTAATTAAGGTTACACTAATATTTGTTTTTTCGAGAGCTTCCCAGAGTTTTTGTTGTGGCACACTATCATAAGCTTTTTTAAGGTAGAGGTAGAGGAGATGTATTGGTTGATTTCGTGCTACTTTTTTTCGATTAGCTAGGTAACAGTAAACAGATGGTCAATAGTTGATCTACTTGCTCTAAAGCTGGCCTCCATATCACAGAATTCATCTTCCATTCTCTTTTTGATGAGTTCCCGTAAACTCTCGAGATGTTACTAAGGACTGCAAACTCCTCGATCATTGTCACATACATCAATAAGTATGTATTGTCGTGATAAAGGATGTCCTCCACTCCTCCGGTACTCTCTCTCCGTTAATACATTAATAAGGTTGGCTAGCTAATAATAAAGGTTGGCTAGCTGCTTATATAATTTGCTTATACTGTACTTGAGTAGCTCAGGTCTGATATTGCCAGAGCCTGGTGATTTTCTATTCTTTAATGCTTGGCATACTCGTGCTACTTCTTTGTCGTCAATCCTAATTAGGGAAGCTATTGTATGTACTTGCCCCTCCGATTGTGTTTGAGGTGTTTGCAAATAAGTATTCTGCCGTTTCTTGCGAAGAATTCATCCCATTTATCTAGGCTGATCGGTGAGATGATGTCTTTAGTCTTATCTTGTCGAAGAGATCGAAGTATTTTCCAGCTTTCAGTGCTTCTGCTACTCTCCAAGTAAGTGTTTATTCTGGAGCAGTTTCATTTCTAGCTTTCGTTTTTCTTCTTAGTTATGGTACCTCGTACGTTTCTTTGGGCTGTTCGATATTCGTTTTTATTTTGTATCAGTATTTATATTTACGTGTTTGTAGTATTTATCTCGTTTAATCTCTATTTTTTCTTCGATTTCTTTATCCCACCAATATGTCTTTCTTCGTTCGGTTTTTTCGTATTTACCCAGTGCTTCTTCTGCTGCACTTTTGACACATGGTTTTATGTAATTGTAATGCTGCCCAACACTATCAAAATTTTCTTGCAAGAGCTTTTCATCGAGTCGCTTTTTGTACAGTGCCTTTGTGCTTTCATGGTTAAGGCTATCAAAGTTGTATTGGTTTCTATTGTTTTTTGCTCTTGTTCCTCGTTGTGTTCTTTTTTATTTGCTAGTTGTATGGGCATTATTTTAACCTTCACTAAGTAGTGGTAGCTTCCACATGCGCTTCCTCTAAACGCTCGTATATATGCCTCTTCCTTTGACTTCCACTTTGCTTTTTTCATTGCGATATTCATCCATCTTGGACCGGCATGTCTCTTTAAATCGTCTGCCCACCTCACCTGTGGCCTTCCTTTGGGCCGTTTTGATTCTTAGGGTCTTCAATATAGCACTTCTTTGTTTCATCTACCGTCCTTCGGCCTGATGTTAATGCCTACAAACTTCCACTTTGTATGTTGCACCTTTCACGTCCTTAGCATTTTGTATTCACTCGTTACGCTTTTTGTCTTTTAAGGTTACTCCCAACTCTTCTGCCATCGCTCTCTGGGTTTGCTCTAATTTATCCATGTACTACCTTGTCGCAGTACATATTTGACATCCGTATGATCACTGGTACGACTGGTTGGTATTGTTTTACGGTATTGCGAATATTTATGATTCATTCATATGAAAGCTAGCTTGCCAAATGTTAGATGTTTTATTTCCACAGTCTGATTTTCTTTGTAAATGTTGTAGCAAATATAACATAGCTTGAAGCCTATTTCATCTTATTATTTTGTATTTCTATTATGATATTCTGTGACGTGTTCTCATTGTTTTTGTTTTTTCATAGTTTTAATTCTAAAAGCGACCTTTCGAGCTTCTCTATCTAGTTCCAGAAGCATATTATTTAACTCATCTGCATCGATTCCTACCAGGAATACATCATAGTAGATGGTTATATTCTTCATTTATTCCTTTTTTTTTCTTGCCAATTTAGTTTCTTAAATATATCCTCTTTAGCTTGCTTGAACAGTTTTGGTGGTGATAGTATCTCACATTGCCTTATTCCTCTGTTTGGTGCCATTGGGTCGGTGAATTAATGTATATTAAATCACGTTTTTGCTTTCTAGTTTATATTGTTAATAAGTTCGGTATATCTGTAGTCTACTATACTGCTGTGTTAACTACAAAACAAGGAGACGAAAATAGAATTCGTACAAGATTTGTGACTCTTTTTTTTTGTGTGTTTTTGGCTTGGACAATTGTCATTCAGCCAGTCTCAATTAAGATAAGTTTATTAATGTAGTGTGTGTGTGTGTGTGTGTAGAGTAATTGTCTTGATACTTAGCAAAGTCGACGTCATTGTCTTAGAGACGCTAATTGTATCCGAACGTCTGCGGTCCCTCCGATGTGTACCGATCACACAAGGATAGAAATTATTTTCATTTATTAATTTTTTTTTAATAAACGAAAATTTACACCCAGGTGGGAACTCACGACCTTTAGGTTTAAAGGCAGGCGCTCTTACCACTGAGCCACAGAGGGGGTAGATTTGTGACTCAAAATAGACGAAATACAGGTAGAAAAATTGGGGACACAATGCACTTGTGGAAACAAGTGAAAACATTTTGGACATAAAGATATACTTAAAGAAACAGTGGATCACTAGAGAAACGCGGAAATGTCGCAAACTCATTAATCTAGAACTACTAAATTCCAGAACAGAAGCAGAGTTATAGCAGAAGTATATAGATAATATCAGTAAACATATGCCATACAACAACCAATAATTGTAAAAAGCAATACAGGTCAAGATATATCACAAAAACAATATGGCATGAATATTTCAGTGAATAGACAGAATGCATTCCCTACTCTGAAGAGCTTTTGTTTGCTTGTATTATTTCGTCCATTATTATACTAATCTGATTGTGGGCTTATTTTTCCTTCTCATTTTCCTTTTCCTTGCGTAGTTCGTCATCGGAGACTGGTTCCGAGGTTTTATATCGGTTCTTTGAGCCTTGTTTTTTTTATACAATGGGTAGGATGCTAAGAGGGGTAGGAAAAGCAACACAGACAGTGTGTGGGAAATCACAAATGATAACAAATCTAGCCTCCAATGAGCTAATACATAGATAGGTATCGAGAAATAACCCACAGAAGTTGTGGAATGTTATGTGTATTTAGACCACGAAATACGACAAGCAGGCGTGTGAGCTACTCAGATGAGTACTAAGTTTGGGTTGGGCTGCATTCGGAAATATAAGGGACGTGTTTAAAGTCGCAATCCATTTAAAAATGAAAGCTTTCAACCAGTCCCCACATACGGAGCAGAAACCTTATCTCTCACTAAAGACTAAAACATGAGCGGAAAAATTCAGGGCACAACGTCAAAGGGAAAGATCGATGCTTGGAATAAGCTTGAGAAATAGACAGAAACGAGGAAATTCGTAGACAAACATAGAGGTGGGCAAGACACCTTGCAAGAATTAAAGAGGCAAGATAAAAAAAATTGCTTGATTGAGAAATATATGGAAATATCTAGAAGAAGCCTATTCAACAAAAGAAGACTATTTAACAATGGACAAATCAGGCCTGATTGATAGTTTTAATGAGGATTAATGATTATATTATAATAATAAAATACTTTGACAAAACAAAGACAAGGCGCATGCCATCAGCTGTTTATGACTTTGACAGTTCAAATTGACATAACAAATTGTTGTAAACAAGACGTGTCGGTAATGTATTAATATTTTCAGGATAGTTTGAAAATGTTTAAATATGTAAAGCGAATATATTAATACTTTATTAGTTATTTATCCAATATATATCGAAAGATTGTACGTATTGCTAGTAGGTATTCTACTTTATATTACTGTTTAATACACAAAAACTGTTTATTAACATGACGTGGCCTAAACTTAACCTTACATTTACAGGCAAATTTTTAAATAAAATGAATGTAATGGAACGAAGAAAAAACAAAAATAAATCTAGTATTCCTTCCCAAATGGAAAACGGTGATTTGCCCAGTACATCAACGTGTAGTAACATCAGAGGCGATGAAAGAAACATATTACTTCTGTTCTTCCTGTATACTCTACAAGGTATTCCCCTTGGTTTGTCATCTGCTATACCTATGATATTACAAAATAGGGGAGTTAGTTATAAACAACAAGTAAGCTAATCTTTTGCAATATTAATTTAAAATAATGAGATTTGAGTTCAGGTATGCCAAGGTTATTGATATAATGAATGCCCATTATCATATTTTATAGTACCTACCATATGGTCAATCTTTTATATTAATTGCTTACAAAAGAAACCAGAGCCTAAGACCTGCACTATTTTAATAAAGTTATTACTTTGATAATAAATGAATAGTGCCCAAAACATATACATGAATAATGTTCTTAACATCATTTTACAGAATTTCTGAGATCTTCAGATTGCCAATTGAATTTGATATATTGATATCTAATCAGTTGACAGGAATAGATGGAGAATCTGAAAATATTGTTGTTTTATTTTGGTCTTCCAAAAGTCGCAAACTAGCAATTGCCTCTATGATCACTGCCTTTCTGGACAGGGTGGTGCAATTGCACCACACTGCCGGTAACCATGAGTACCTCATATGTACACAAAATAGGTGTTTTACATAATGTTATCCCTCTTAGTAGAGTTGATATATATGAAGCACTCATCGGGCAGGTACTGTTACTAATAGAGAAACTGCTTGGATATTTGGTGGGTTCAACCTTGCACCAAATTGTAAGTTTGGTCCATTTATATCATCATAATTATGTTTCTACCCAATTTCAATTAATTTTTTTACATCACTTAGCGTTATACCATAGACTGGTTTAAGCCACCTGGAAAATGCTCTATTTAATCTAATATGGCCTATTATGCACAGCTTCATTCCTTGTTTGTTTAACAGAAGTCATAGATTTTTGTTGCTCGGACAGCATTTTCTTATAATTGGTGTAAAAATAAATGGACCAAAAAAGAGAAGTCAGAAATAAAGATAAAACGAATATAAGAAACTTCACACATTAATCAGAGAATAAATAACATATGAGATCTAATAGACCCTTAAAACAGCCTTCATAACTTCGATCTCAAGATCTAACCTTGCTAAAGCTGTTTCCCTGGAAAGCTTCACAATAGTCTGTAGGAGTAATTAATAAAGACTTACCATGTATTCACATGATTTTTAAAAATGTTCCGACTGGAGTGGAAACTTGAAATAATTAACAATTGTTGTACTGCCTGGCCCAGAAGTTTCTTTAACACGTTGCCTGCCGTCTCGGTCTATGTGACTGAGAAAAAAATTGTTCTACACTCCAGCGAAGTCTATTTGACCGTGGTGGTGCCGTCTCAGTGACTATGGCGTGAATGAAAAGTATTACAAAATCCTCCATGGAAGGCAATATGTTAACATGGCATTATTCACACTAAAAGCATAGCGATGGAAAAAAATGACTAGTCTTACATTCTGCTGATCATAATTCTAGCCTTATTGCTGCAGTAAAGATTTACCAACTTACATAGAATCATTATTCTAATTGTTCCATCAAAAGAGATCAAAATGAGCTATGACTGTTGTTTTATGACTATGTATGAGGGTTTTATATTATGTTTTATATTTCCTCCTTATCCTAACTCTTGGAAACTCTGTAATGCTGAACTCTAGAAACCTTTTTGCGAAACACTTGTTTGGAACCGTTGATGTAAATAATTTTGTTGTAATAAGTCATTTGTAGCAATATAATCTTATTTATGTTTTTAGGCAGAATTCAGTTTCGTAACCTGGCCCTTTAGCTTGAAACTGTTATGGGCCCCCATAGTAGACAGTATATTTTCGTCACGAATAGGTAGAAGAAAAACGTGGATGATTCCTTCACAGTATTTAATTGGTGGTTTTATGTTACTTCTTTCTAGTCACGTCAACAAGTGGCTCGGAGAAGACGGATCTGCCCCGAACATAGAAGTTTTGACTTTTATGTTTTTTTCGTTAAACTTTTTAGCAGCTACGCAAGATATTGCCGTTGACGGATGGGCTTTGACGATGCTGAGAAAAGAGAATGTTGGACATGCTTCAACTTGTAACAGCGTAGGACAGACAACTGGTTTTTTTCTGAGTTATGTTCTCTTTATGGCGTTGGAATCTTCCACCTTTTGTAATCAGTATTTAAGGACAGTACCCGAGACGGAAGGTAAGAGTTTATTAAATACTTTAGTAATAAGAGAATCTTAATGTAATACTTATATTCTAAGGTAAAAATTTTTTTAGTAGACACAGAGATAGATTTCTAAGTAGACACCGGCTTGTTCTTGGAAGGAGTAAAAAATATTTTTCAAACGATAATTGTTTTGCAAAGTTGTAAAAGATAAAAAAGATACTGATCAAAAAATAGAGGAAAAAAAGAATGTCTTGTTAATGGACTAGTACTAATTGTCATATATCAGTAAGTACTATGAATTCAGTAAGAGTTAATTTAATGCATTATAGATGATATGGATGGATCGTACAGAAAAATGTCACAAGAAAAATATATCTTACCTCTATAGCATTGGATAAATCAGCAGCATAGGAGAAAATCATGGATAAATTGTGAGAAAATTACCTCACAACTATATGTTAAATTTACTAATTAAAAATGAAAAAAGTAGAGTCATAAAAGTTAACAAAAAAACGTACATGAAAGGTTCTACAGTATTCTAGGGCCGACTATGTGGAAAATTATGTATGATGAACACAATTCCACCATTCATCCATAGCTGAAAGGTACGACTTAACAGGACATAGTTAAAGAGAGAAGTCGAAAAGTTTCAAGTATTTGGAAACATTATTAACAAATATTGGGGAAAGAACAGAAATTTTTCGGTTGCAACCATGTCTCCTGAGCATTGTGTTTTTTATTTCATGTCAAAATATGCCTTGGTTCATTGTTTAGAGCCAAATGAATTTGCCACCCACAATTTAGAACTTTTTTAATTATGATTATTTTGGAGTTATTTTGTAATACGACAAGGTGGCTTTGGTGACTGTTATTATTATGTCATATTGACACTTACATTTTGTTTACCTATTATTGATCATGGTTCTTAGTGTCGGAAGATTGTACGAAAGCTGTTGCTCTGGTTCAAGATGGGCGAAATTATGAATATGTGGCTAGAGTCCTACACACTCATCGCTCTACCATTCACAGAGTAGTGGAACGTTTTATACAAACTGGAACTAACTTTTTCCGTTTTATATGAGTCAACGCTTTGCGGAATCGTCATTTAACAAAGAAATCAGCTTCAAGAGGTTCGAGGCAATAATGTCAGTGTATTTACAGTTCGTGGAAGATTACATGAATTTGGTTTGCAAAGTTGCAGACCAGCAACTGGACCCAAATTACTTCCACAGCACAGAGTGCCTAGACTACAATTTTCCAGGAAAGAAACGCGGGTTTTTCGACTTCCCTATCACTAACAATTTTCGCTTCACCGAACCTGTCATGTTAGCGGCTACTAAAACTGTAATGCGTTCCTTAGAGAGCTTTCCACCAACGCACTTTTCCAATTTAAATTTTAAAGTTCTGTTGGGTGTCATTTTAAAAAACAATCCAGTCTCATCCGCATTGAAAATGTCGTCTGACGCATATCGTGCCTTTAGTCCAGGCCACACGTTTTCTAGCCAATGATCCGTTACGTTTTTGTTAACATCGCGAGCCTCTCCGCTGATTTGGCCGTAGTTGATCTTGTGCCGCATCTTCCACTTGCTCAGCCAACCCTCAGATGCCTTAAAATTCTCAATTCCAAGTTCAGTTGCAAAAAATTCAGCTTTCGTCCTGACCACAGACCCAGAAAGTGGAATATGGTTCATACGCTGCTGCTGGAACCACTGAAGCATAGCGCGATCTAAATCTTCGTGCTGAGGTTTCCGCAACTTCTTCCTGCTACCGCCCTCCATCTCCGCTTTAAGCCACTTTTTTCTGTCCTTCCATATCGTAGCCACAGTTGACTGAGACAGCCCCGTCCGGAGAACGACATCCGATTGCTTTTTACCTTTCTCTATTGCTCGAGTTATCGATAGTTTTTCCTCCACCGAGAGCACTTTACGCTTTTTTGAAAACATGTTGACTGTTGGCACACTAAGACGCAACTCAAACTGGAAATTAAAAGTCGTCAATAGATGACAACATCTGTGTGATAACAGTTAATTACGCCGTCCGAACAATAAACGTCACTTAACCCTCTGATAAGAAACAGTGTATGCCGCATTCCTTAAATGCAAAACAAAACAACCGCTGAACAATGACCTTTTCATTCGTGACTCAGGTAGTCTGAACTTTAAATACAATAACACATTTGTCATCAACTATTGAACGCAAAAAAGTTATCGCTATAAAGAGAGAACAATATCGGTATAGAGAAAGAATTAATACATTGTTCTTATGATGAACCAACCAACGTTTACTATTTTCATCGTTATAGAGGAATTATCGTTATATAGGGAATCGTTATAGAGAGAGACTACTGTATATGGAATAGTTTTTTCTATAGTTTCATCCTAGCTTTTTTCCTCACATCAGGCTGATATATTCAAGAGTTACAGTGTGAAAGAGAAAAAATTAAAACTAACAGAAATTTAAATTTCGCCAACATATCTATAACATATCAACTTCATACTTTCAGGAATGTATTTTGAAGATTTTAGTTGGACATTTTGGGTTTGAATCTGAATCAGCTCGAGCGACTGACGAGATAGAGATACCGTTACGAATAACAGTTATACCGTTCTATTGATTCCGATTCAGACACGAAAAGTTTGACTAATTTGTGCTCCGACGCCATAATATTCGGAGTATGACGCCAATATTTAATGTTATGACAAACAGTACAAGGTACTATTAATCTATTGAAAATATCAAGCAATCTAAAGCCTTTAAAAAAATCTTGAATGTTTCTTTAGTTCATGTATGATATAATTTACTGTAATTTTTAGGTATTGTGACTTTATCCGGATTTTTGTATTTCTGGGGAATAGTATTTGTTGTTACTACCACAATAGTAGCGTTTCTTAAGAGAGAGACGGATGCAGCGAATGTAGATCATGAACGTGATTTGACATCCGCATATAAATCTTTAAAAAGTATAATGGGTTTGCCAGCTGTACAAACTTTGGTTGTGATTTTGTTAACTTGTAAGGTAAGACACTTTAGTTTTATACTATTGTTAGGAAACTCTATGTAATACCATTCCCCCTCCGAAATCTAATCATTGTCACGCTCATAAGTAGATTGTACTACAGGCTATTATATCGAAATGGCGAGGAACGGAAGACTGCTATACCTTGAGTAAATACCGATCTGACAGACATGAGAGTTTCTCTTATTTTAGGAAAATCCCCCGCACTGTATGCTTATAACTCGAGCAATTCTTCAAATTCAAGCGATCTGTCTACTGTACTAGTGAGGCTGCGAAAAATGCGTTGAAGTGCGTATATCGTCACCTCAGAGCAACAGTAACCCATGTACAAAATCTTTGTTTGCGAGAAAACCTATTTTAAAATTTGTGTGTATTTTAAATCTGTAATAAAATCACTAAAGAGCGTTCCACGTTAAGAAAGGAACATTGCGGAGATAGGGCCATGTATTTCTTATGGACGATAGAAGCGCGGCGTTGCCACGAAACACACAAGCACGATTCAGGATTGTATAATTTGTATTTTCGTTTCCACAGACATGAATTAAATTAATGTTTTTTAACGTAATTGACCAAAAGTGTCCATTCGAAACAAGAGATGAAAAGTAGGGAAAATGATTTTAATTAAATAAATAGTAAATAGGTAAAGAAATAATAATAAGACTTACTCACAATCAATTTGATTTAACAATCTGACGACCGGTTTCGCTTTCTATAATTTGCAAAGCATCTTCAGGTCGAGATACAAAGTTAAACTAATGCTGCAATAAAATAAACCCAATTAGGGTGGTGTCTCATAAAGATAAAATAAACAAATAAATAAATTAGTTCATACAAATTATAGTAATTATGCCAATATTACATGTCTGTGGTTTTCAAAATGAATAATTTGAATATATAAAAGGTAGTAACAGACAAGGTAAGGCCCACAATTGGTATAAAGTAGCAATCTTTTGTTGTAATAAATTAATAAATGAGCAAATAAATAAAACAAAACAAAACAAACATTACTTACATGCCGGTACTCTATTAATTGATGGATGGTAGGTCATGGTTGCAAAAATCATGTATTGTTGATTGGAGAACTTTAATGAGCTATTGCAGTTGTTATTATTAAATTATTATTAAATGCAGTACATTATTAAATGCACTATTAAAGTTCTCCAATCAACAATACATGATTTTTGCAACCATGACCTACCATCCATCAATTAATAGAGTACCGGCATGTAAGTAATGTTTGTTTTGTTTTGTTTTATTTATTTGCTCATTTATTAATTTATTACAACAAAAGATTGCTACTTTATACCAATTGTGGGCCTTACCTTGTCTGTTACTACCTTTTATATATTCAAATTATTCATTTTGAAAACCACAGACATGTAATATTGGCATAATTACTATAATTTGTATGAACTAATTTATTTATTTGTTTATTTTATCTTTATGAGACACCACCCTAATTGGGTTTATTTTATTGCAGCATTAGTTTAACTTTGTATCTCGACCTGAAGATGCTTTGCAAATTATAGAAAGCGAAACCGGTCGTCAGATTGTTAAATTAAATTTATTGTGAGTAAGTCTTATTATTATTTCTTTACCTATTTGATATGGACTCACACAAGCAACACATTCATGATTTAAATAAATAGTATTTACAAAAGATAATTTTATTTTATCTTATTTTAATTATAGTAACGACAGTTCATTTGTTTTTCGGTAAGAATACCATATACCATGAATCATAGAAATCAGTAAAAAATATTTCTTAGTTAAATCATGCACTTTGCCGGCTATTAAAGATTTAAAAGCAAATGAACGGACCTCTTGGAATGCATATATCTAATTACTAATTGCAACTTAAAATAATACGGTGTGCGTATGTCAGCGATTTTATGTTGTTCTCTGAGACTACATAATGGTAATAAGGCTTTGTGGTATTTTAGTTGTTATTCTGACTTTACAGTTAGATGTTAATTGAAAATGGAAATTCAAAAATTAAGCCAAGGGAATATTTTGGACATCCGTGCAAAACAAATTGTTTTAAATATATTTAAATATCATCTAAACTTAAGAAGTGGTGAAAGTGTTAGAAGTTTAACGGATAAAGTAAGTGCTATGACAGGAGTAAGTTTTAGTACTATTTTTAAAATACGCAAAGAAGCTGCGGAAGGAGGATTAATGCCCATAAAAAAAAACAAGAAAACATACCAAAAGTAGAGTGAACAACAGAAAGTTCACTTACGATGCAGTATTTCATACGCGGCTACGTGCCATCATGTCACGCATAACAATGTGGAGAATACTCCATGAAATGAACTTTGTTTTTTGCAAACGAGGAGTAAAGCCAAGTATGATTGAACGGCCCGATATTCTAAAATAGAGGCATCAGTATTTGCGTGAAATAAAAAAAATCGTTCTCAAGGATACACCGTCGTTTATTTGGAAGAAACTTGGGTGAATGTTGGACATAGTATTTCCAAAGAATGGAAGGACCTCTCAGTGACGTCAACCAGGGATGCGTTTGTTAAGGGGTTGTCAATAGGCCTAAAACAACCGAGGGTTTCACTGCGAGACAGAATCGAAAACGAAGATATCATCAGAAATAGAACCAAAACCACATATATAATAAAAGAAGTAGCATAAAATGAAATGGTATTCAGCTAGGCACGTGGCAATACAATAGGAAGATGTATGGGTATGAAGAATGTAATAGTGAGGACCGAGACAAGAAAATAGATAGAAGAAATGCCCGAAAATATACCTATATTTTCGATATCCGAACTATAACAGAAAAACAATGTACCCGCTTAACACACAAGATGGTGGAAAAATTTGAGTGAGACAAGGAGTGGATGAATACGTAGTGAACAAGAAGTAGAACCTATCTCGACTGTAATTTCATCGAATGCCCAACTATTAAGGACATATCAATTATTGTTGCTCTCGGAGGAACCTGTAACCTCTAGAGAGTGCGTCCCTAGGTGGCGGATAGGGGAATGCCCGACCCGGTTTACCGGTGGGTAGGAGGGAAATAAAATACCTCCCGTAGACCAACGGGTAATTCACCGAATGATTGCCGGTATAAGCAATCCCCCACTTATGACCAACGGCTGCGGGCGGATGAGTTAATAAGTGGAAGGGCACTCTTTTGTCCAAGGGTTGGGAAACTGGTCCTAAAGGCGGATGAATCGCAAAATATGTCAACGGCGTAAGGATGCAGAAGGCAACGGGGAACCACTGCATTAAAGACTCTTAGAGTACCCCTAGTAAAGTCATGAATGGCAAATGACAAGTAGAGTAAACAAACTTACTGATTATGGAGCACGGAATCCAAGATCCGGCAGGGAAGGAATAACTGAAGATCACATGGCCTCCCAGGTCGTAAACCAGAAAAATCCCTGTGGACTTAAGACATTGAAAATAGCAACCTGGAATATCAGAAGTTTATATGCAAGTGGTAAATTAGCGAACGTACTGCTTGAAATGGAAAACCTTCAAATTGATGTTTTAGGTATAAGTGACGTACAGTGGCCAGGTTCAGGCAAACAAATTACAAATAATGGAACCATGTATTATTCAGGTAACAACGAGGTCAATCATCGCTATGGTTTTGCTATCTTAGTTGCAAAAAAGGCCAATTACTCTGTGATAAGTTTTACTCCTTATTCTGATAGGATCTTATCAATACAACTACAGTCTAAAAAAGGTATAGTAAATTTTATTTAAGTTTATGCTCCTACAGCAGATAAAGATGACGACGATATCGAACTGTTTTACCATGGTTTGGAACAAGTCTTAAAATCAATGAAGAAACATCACACTACAATATTAATGGGTGACTTCAATGCCAAAGTTGGCCAGGGAAGAGTGGATGGATATGTGGGGGAATATGGTCTAGGAAATAGAAATGAACGTGGTGACCGTTTGATACAATTTTGCCAGAAGGAAGAATTTGTAATAGCTAATACACTTTTTAAGCTACCAAAAAGAAGATTGTATACATGGAAATCTCCCGGTGATGCAACGAATAGAATAATCCGAAATCAAATTGACTTTGTCCTTATTAGACAAAGATTTCGTAATTCTATACTGTCTGCCAAAACTTACCCTGGAGCAGACATCGGTTCAGACCATAACCCCATAGTAGTCACATTACGAACCAAATTAAAACTGGTTAAAAAACCCACACAAAGTAGAATTGACATTAAGAGATTAAGGGAACCACAAACAAAGGAACAAACTGTAAAAACCCTTACTGAAAATCTACGTAATGCCCAAGAACTGAATAAAAGTAGCTATAACATTGATCAGAAATGGGAAAATATAAAAGTAGCAATAATTAAAACAGCAAATGAAAATTTAAAACAAAAGAATAGAAAACATAAAGATTGGATGACTGAAGAAATACTACTATTAATGAATGAAAGCAAATCATTCAAAACAAAAAATCCAATTAAATATAATGAAACTGATCGATTATTAAAAAAGAGAATAACAGAAGCTAAGGAGAGAATGTTACATGAGCAGTGCCAAGAACTAGAAGAAATTGAGAAAAAAATATGACTTTTTTAACATGCATAAACGAATTAGAGAATTAACAGGAATGAGAAAAACACTTCAAACTAGGCAACTAAGAGATGAAAGGGGTGCACTTATAACAGATATAAACCAAAAAATGCAGAGATGAACACAATATATAGCACAACTATTTGAAGACAAAGAGAGAACAGAAGCACCAAAAGAATTTAAGGATGATACTGGGCCTGACATTATACGAGAAGAAATTGAAAATGCAATGAAACAAGCTAAAGGTGGTAAATCTTCTGGGCCTGATAAAGTTCCTATCGAATTACTTAAAATTGTGAATACTGAATCTATTGATCTTCTTTTGGATCTATTGAATACCATATATAAAACAGGTATAATACCTAAAGAATGGCTCCAATCAACATTCATACTGCTTTCCAAAAAAGCCAATGCAAAGGAGTGCAATGAACATCGCACCATAGCCTTAATGAGTCATGTCTTGAAATTGTTTTTAAAAGTAATTCACAATAGAATACATAAGAAATTAGATGAAGGCATAAGTAATACACAAATGGGATTTAGGAAATAACTGGGAACACGAGATGCACTGTTTGCAGTAAGTGTTCTTTCGCAGAGATGCTTAGATATTAATCAGGAAGTATATGCCTGTTTCATTGATTTTGAGAAGGCATTTGACAGAGTGCAGCATATCAACTTAAAGAAATTTTATTAAATAAAAACATAGACAGTAGAGACATTAGAATCATCTGTAACCTCTATTGGAATCAAACAGCAAAAGTGAAAGTTGAAAACGAACTAACCAAGGATATCCAGATTCGCCGTGGGGTCCGCCAAGGGTGTATTTTATCACCCTTGTTACTCAATTTATACAGTGAAGCCATCTCAGAATTAGCGCTTGCCGAGATCAGTGAGGGCCTTATAATAAACGGTGAGCCACTTAATAACATAAGATATGCTGACGACACCGTCCTTCTGGCAGGAACACTAGAAGAACTGCAACACCTTGCTGAACAACTAAATATATATTGCAACGATTATGGACTAAAAATCAATTTGAAGAAAACCAAGTTCATGGTATTTACAAAAGCACAAAACATCAAAGTTAAGCTAGTACTAGGTAATACAGAAATTTAACAAATATCTTCGTACAAATACCTTGGAGCATGGATCACAGAAGATACTGATCAGACAAAAGAAATAAGATGCCGCATTTAAATTGCGCGGTCAACTTTTAATAGAATGAGAAAACTTTTTGTAATCGCGATATCAATATATCGCTCCGGATAAGAATGTTTCGATGTTATATTTTCTCTACCCTTTTGTATGGATACTTATTAAAGCTTGGACACTTAAAAAATCCAACATTAAAAAGCTAGAAGCATTCGAAATGTGGTGTTACCGACGCATCTTGAAAATATCATGGATGGATCGCAAAACAAACGAACAAGTTCTCGAACAACTAGGAAAACAATGCGAAGTTTTAAATTCCATAAAAATCAAAAAATTTAATACTTGGGGCACATCATGAGAGGTGAAAAGTACGAACTACTAAGGAATGTAATGCAGGGTAAAATCGAAGGTAGAAGAAGCGTAGAAAGACGTAAAATCTCGTGGCTACGCAATCTCCGTGAGTGGTTTTCATGCAGTTCAATTGAACTATTCAGGCGAGTAACCAATAAAATTATGATTGCTAGAATGATTTCCAATTTCCGATAGGAGTGGAACTTGAAGAAGAAGAAATATTGTTGATCGTTTGAGATCTTTATAGTTTTTATTGAAATCATAAATAAACTAAATATTCCAATTCTGTTTCTTATTCGTCCCATATGTAGCGATGTACCTACTCACCAAAATCACAGCATAACCAAGGCGTATTTTTAGCGTTAACGACAAGCCTGTGCTAGATAGAAACTTAGTCTTATTCCGAAAAGGTTATACTTGATATATTTCAGATAAGTTAGGACAATACTGTATTATTTTGTTTTAGATTGGATTTTCTTCCACTGATAGTGTTATGGGATTAAAATTAGTTGAAGCTGGCATTCCAAAAGAACGATTGGGTCTTATGGCTTTACCGTTAATTCCAGTACAGTTGGCTATGCCGTTAGTAATAGCCAAATACACCACAGGTAAGTTTTACTGTAAATAATGTAGGGTAGCTTAATTTTACACCTTTTGTTATTTTATTCTTCTCTTTGTATCTCTTTCTTAAAGTTCCCTCAGTAGTTTATCGATATATACACCTGTGAAGTATGTACGAGCCTCTCCCTTATCGGGAACAATGAATCTTACATAATTCTCCTGTTAGATATAGATAGACTTAAATAGACCCACGATCGTTCCTTGAGGATGACTATATTTAAATTTGTCGAGTCAGTATAGTAGTTTAACGAAACTCAATAGGTTGTATATCATAGAATGTAGGTGAAACGAAAATAAAAAAGCTTTTAAAACTTTTAAAGAACATGATGATGATATTCAAGAAGATCCAAATTACATTCCAAATGAAATTCCTGGAACTATAGAAAGCTCTTTTTAAGTCTCATGATGAATCAGAAGATGTAAAATTTCTGATGAAGTTTCGGGTGGACAATCAAAGAAATATGCTGCTAATTTTTTAAAACCCAAGTGGGTAAAAGCCCATTTTCAATCTACTACTACAACAGTAAATATGTCATTTGAAGAGAAGAAAAACGTTAAAGAAGATTTTAGGAATTTATAACCAATTCAAATTTTTGAAAAAATTACTTACTGAACATTTGTGATCATACATTTGTGATCAGTCAATTTTATACGCACAGCAAAAAAATAATCACTCTTTAACAATATCTCCAAACGAAATGAAAACTTTTTTTGCAATATTATATCTAACTGAGTATAACAGATTACCACGAGAGAGGTTATATTGGTCATTAGATGAGGACCTAGGAGTTTACTGTGTTTACAACACTATGAGCAGAGACAGGTACTTAGAACTAAAAAAGCTTGTTCATCTAGCGGATAATGCCAAAATAGGCGATTTTAAAGATCGTATGTACAAAATTAGACCCTGAGCAGATAAAATTATAGAAAAATTCTGCCATTGGGGATGTTTCCATAACGATATATCCATAGACGAATCCATGGTGAAATATTTCAGCCATAACCCAGCAAAACAATTTATTCGAGGGAATCCAGTCAGATTTGGATATAAAAATTGGATGATAACTGGTTACACTGGATATTGTTATGGTTTTGACGTGAGAAAAAAACCAAATTATACTGAAGATACCAAAGGAATACCATTTGGAGCTAAAGTAGTAATTAATATTTTGAAATAGCTGCCCGAATCATCTAGAAATGAATTTTTTTTCGATAATTATTTCACGACATATCAGCTCATGACATACCTGAAACAAAAAAAAAAACATAAAGGCCACAGGAACTGTAAGAGAAAATCGTGTGCAAAAATGTGCAGTAATGGAGTCTAAGCTAATGAAGAAAATAGCAAGAGGTACATATGATGATAGATTCGACAAAGCTAATAAAATTTTGAGTGTGAAATGGTATGACAATAGTGTTTGTTCTATGTTATCCAATTATGATACCATTGAACCATTAGGTCAGGTAAAACGGTGGTCCAGAGCATCAAAATCAAAAGAAAATGTAGTACTCTACTGTAGTAGGTTTTATTTACGTACTTTCTTGACATGATTATGAATAATGCCTGGAAACTTCATCAAATTTCTGCTGAAAATGCGATTGATCAGTTAGAATTCCGTCGTCATATAGTACGTAGTATTTACCATTAACCAGATCTTTACACTACGACAGATCCTCGAAAAAGTGCAAGAGTTTAACATAGATATGTATCATATTTTTTTTCGATTTTAAAGCGGCATATGACAGTGTCTTAAGACCAAGTCTTTACAACGCTATGAATGAGTTAGAAATTCCAAAAAAAACTCATATGTTTGCTAAAAGTGACAATGGCGAAGATGCTATCAGCAGTAAAAATTCAAAACGACTCGTCAACCCCATTTAAAATATATAGGAGGTTAAGGCAGGGATATGCGCTGGCGTGTCAGCTTTTTAATGTCGCCTTAGAAAAAGTTGTACGAGACGCTAATTTAGATAGCAGGGGAACAATATTTAATATCATCATCATCATCTTGGTGCTACAGCCCTTAGAGGGCCTCGACCTTCTCAAGCTTTCTACGCCATTCTGTTCTGTCCCTTGCTTGAATTTTCCAGTTGCCGACTCCGATCTTCTCCGCATCTTGTGTTACCCCATCCATCCACCTCAGCTTTGGTCTACCCCGTCGTCTCATTCCCACAGGTTGCGCTGTTAGAATCTTTTTTATCATGTTCGATTCAGGGGCCCGGGCTACATGTCCTGCCCACTGCAGGCGGTTTCGCTTAATTATAGTGGTAATATCTTTACCACCAAACGTATGCTTGTAGATATTCTGCAGTTCGAAGTTATATCTACGCCTCCATATTCCGTTCTCACAGACCGCTCCAAATATCTTGCGTAGCACCTTTCTTTCAAAAATGGATAGAGCGGATTCATCTGTTTTCGTTAGCGTCCATCATCTGTTTTCGTTAGCGTCCATGCCTCTGATCCGTATGTGAGAACGGGGACTATCAGTGTTCTATACAGCCTTATACGAGTTTTTTGAGACAGACGTTTGTTAGCTAGGTACTTTGATAGACCATAATAACACCTGTTTGCAATTATTATTCGCCTTTTTATTTCCTCAGATGTATTATTATTGGGGTTAACCGATGTCCCTAGATATATGAACTCATTGACTGCTTCGAAAGTTTGGTCATTGATGATTAAATTTGTGTCAACATTTCCAGCTCTTGTGTTTGTGTTAGTCGCCATGAATTTGGTTTTATTTTGATTTATATGTAACCCCATTCGTTCTGCTGCTGCTACTAGCTCGGTTAGGATTTCCGCAGTTCTCGCCCTAGTTCTTGTTATAATGTCCACGTCGTCTGCATATGCTACAATTTGGATTGATCTATTAAATATTGTTCCCCTGCTATCTAAATTAGCGTCTCGTTCAACTTTTTCTAAGGCGACATTAAAAAGCTGACACGCCAGCGCATCTCCCTGCCTTAACCCCCTATGTATTTGAAATGGGGTTGACGAGTCGTTTTGAATTTTTACTGCTGATAGCATCTTCGCCATTGTCACTTTTATCAAACATATGAGTTTTTTTGGAATTCCTAACTCATTCATAGCGTTGTAAAGACTTGGTCTTAAGACACTGTCATATGCCGCTTTAAAATCGACAAAAATATGATACATATCTATGTTAAACTCTTGCGCTTTTTCGAGGATCTGTCGTAGTGTAAAGATCTGGTTAATGGTTGAACGTCCAGGCCTGAATCCTGCCTGATATTCCCCTAGAAACATTTCAGTATAAGGCTTTAATCTCTCGTGCAAAATATTTGATAATATCTTGTATGCTGTATTTAGGAGAGTTATTCCGCGGTAATTATTGCATTCCAGTTGGTTTCCCTTTTTGTGTAACAGGCAAATTAAGCCTAAGCTCCATTCTTCTGGCATTTGCTCCTCAGACCAAATTCTACAAACAATTTCTCGCATCACCTTGGTGAGCTGCTCTCCACCGTGCTTAAATAACTCTGCTGGGATGCCATCGCTACCTGGGGACCTATGGTTCCTTAGTTTTTCTATAGATATTTTTACTTCATCTATCGAGGGGGGTTCCACGAGTTCCTCATTTCGGTATTCCAGCTCTATATTGTTAGTAGGTTCCCCTTCCAGCAACTCTCGAAAGTGCTCTACCCATCGTAAAAGGATGTCCTCTTTGTTGGTAAGTAAGTTGCCTTCCTTATCATTACAATAGTTGATTCTTGGTTTGAATTCTTTTCTAATACTATTTATTTGATGGTAGAACTTTCTTGTTTCTCCGTGACTCATATGGCTTTCGAGCCGTTCTAACATGTCAATATTTAATAGATCAGTCCAAATTCTAGCATATGCAGACGACGTGGACATTATAACAAGAACCAGGCCGAGAACTGCGGAAATCCTAACCGAGCTAGTAGCAGCAGCAGAACGAATGGGGTTACATATAAATCAAAATAACACCAAATTCATGGCGACTAACACAAACACAAGAGCTGGAGATGTTGACGCAAATTTAATCATCAATGACCAAAACTTCGAAGCAGTCAAAGAGTTCATATATCTAGGGACATCGGTTAACCCCAATAATAACACATCTGAGGAAATAAAAAGGCGAATAATAATTGCAAACAGGTGTTATCATGTTCTATTAAAGAACTTAGCTAACAAACGTCTGTCTCAAAAAACTCGTATAAGGCTGTGTAGAACATTGATAGTCCCCGTTCTCACATATGGATCAGAGCCATGAACGCTAAGTAAAACAGATGAATCCGCTCTATTGATTGTTGAAAGAAAGGTGCTACGCAAGATATTCGGAGCGGTCTGTGAGAACGGAATATGGAGGCGTAGATATAACTTTGAACTGCAGAATATCTACAAGCATACGTTTGGTGGTAAAGATAATACCACTATAATTAAGCGAAACCGCCTGCAGAAACCGGTCATGTAGCCCGGGCCCCTGAATCGAAAAGGATAAAAAATATTCTAACAGCGCAACCCGTGGGAATGAGAAGACGGGGTAGACCAAAACTGAGGTAGATGAATGGGGTAACACAAGATGCGGAGAAGATCGGAGTCGGCAACTGGAAAATGCAAGCAAGGGACAGAACAGAATGGCGTAGAAAGCTTGAGAAGGTCGAGGCTCTGTAAGGGCTGTATCACCAAGATGATGATGACAGTACGTAGTTATTTGAAAGATGTTGTCACTTCAAGGACACAAAGAAAAAGAAAAGCTGGTTCCAACATTGAAAAATTTTGAAAAATACCGTACAAATACCTAACGTCCTCAAACGGGGCCCTTATATTTCAAAATGTTTTTGAAAAAAATATATTTTTTTGAATATGTGTACTCAATGTAACCCAAAACATCACAATTTTGTACCGTTTACCATTTTTTCCACGATGAGGCGTTAATGGGCGATACCATTTTTAGGCGTTAATGGGTTTTAATAAAGTTTTATTTACTTTAAAATTAAAGATCTTACGAAGTTTTATTCGATTTGTATTTAAAAGAGCTACAATATAATGATTTTTGCATAAAAAATAATTAAAAAAAAATAGTTATGTTTGGACCTTCAACCGTTAATCTTGAATAAACTATTGGGTCAAATTTAATTTAGCATAACTTAAATCAAAGCTTTATTTGATTACTTTTATAATATTGTCCCCATTCTACCCTAAAATATTGATTTGATACAATAACAATAAAAGAAGCAAAGGCCGACCGCGAATTAGGTGGTTAGATGGAGTAGAAACCGACTTACGAATATTAAAAATCAGAAGATGGCAACATGTTGCCAGAAACCGAACAGAATTGCGAGGAATCTTAGAGCAAGCCAAGATCCACAGAGGATTGTCGAGCCAAAGATGATGATGATGATGACAATAACAATAATCAAAAAACACCCTTTGTTGAAGTGCCATAAAAAAATTATAGCCAACAATTTGGAGTGGCACGAATTTGGTGGTTACTCCAAAAATTGCCCTTCATAACGCTGTGCCGGTTTAAAAAATTCACTCATTTATGCTCAAAATAATTCATTTTTGTCTCTGAAACTTGAACTATAAAGAAATGTTTTTATAAATAAAAAGAAATACAAAACCTTTCAAAAAACATTTTATTGTTCATACATACTTTCGATCCAAGTAACACCATTTTTGTGCTCGTCTTTGTGTTTTCTCTTCTGTCGTTTAGGTTTCAAACTTACCGAACTTTTTGATTTTATTTTGCAAATTTGATGTTTGTTATTACTAAGCGTATACCATTTACTATAAAAGTGATCATCTGAAAGTCCAAAAGTTCCTGTCCGTAAAGTGACTATACTTAAATCCATCTTGGGACAAATATGATATACTATATTGGGTGGAAACGTGTTTCCGTCCAATCGGAAAATCAAATTGAAATGTCTAACATCAAATACTTGTGCGTGTACATAGTTTACCTGCAACACGATAGTTAATATCTAAAACAAGACTTTCTGATATAGTTTTATCTTTGTTTATTTAAATATCAGTATAACTGGAAATAGAGCTAAATATATAAATAATCGAAGAGATCTCAAAAAATATTTTGCAAAGACTATATTTTCTTCTTCCTATGCCGTCCCCATTAACGGAGGTTGGCGACCACATTTTTAAAAGCTTCTCTGTCTTTTGCAACGTGGAATAATTCGTCTACAGTCATGTTTGTCCGAATGTTGTCTCGAATATTTCGCAGCCATGACTTCCTCTTTCTACCTATTCCCTTTTTGCCATCGACTCTACCCTGCATGATGACCTGCAGAAGACTATATTTATTATTTCTTAGTATGTGTCCAAGGTATGCAGTCTTGCGTACTTTTATCGTTCTCAACAATTTTTTGACTCGATCCATTCTTCTCAGCACTTCCTCATTGGTGACCCTGGCAGTCCATGGGATTCTCAACATTCTCCGGTATATCCAAAGTTCAAAGGCTTCAATATTTTTAACTATTTGCGCTTTTAGTGTCCATGTTTCTACCCCGTACAATAGTTGCGACCAGACGTAACATTCAACAAACCTCAGTCTCAGCGCAATATTCAGATTTTTGTCACAGAACAATTGTTTGAATTTTAAGAACGCTGCCCTTGCCATTTCTATTCGTACCCGGATCTCTTGGTCTGGATCTAATTCTGTGTTGATGTAAGCTCCCAGATATTTATATTTTGTCACTCTCTCTATTTGCTGTCCACCAAGAGTTAGTTGTTCATTATTTATTGGACTCCTTGATACTATCATAAATTTGGTCTTATCTGTGTTGATGTCAAGTCCCATTTGAATGCATTCACTATTTATTGCATCTAGTAAAGTTTGTAGATCTTCTACACTCTCAGCCATAATTACCGTGTCATCTGCAAATCTCATGGTGTTTATGATTTCTCCACCAATTCTTATTCCCTCTTTTCTTTCCCATAAGGCTTTTCTGAATATGACCTGTGAGTACACGTTGAAAAGCGTCGGAGACAAGACGCATCCTTGCCTAACCCCTCTCGCAATCGGTATATTATTTGTTTCTATATCGTTCACCTTTACTACTGCTTTCTGGTTCCAGTATATAGCCTTAATAAACTCAATGTCTTTTTTATCTAAATTGATGTTTTTTAATTCATCTATTAACTTCATATGCTGCACTCGGTCAAAGGCCTTCCTAAAGTCTATGAAGCATACATATGCACTCTTGTTATATTCCCGACATTTCTGCAAGAGTACCGTCAACGCAAATAATGCCTCTCTTGTACCCATGCCTCCTCTGAAGCCAAACTGAGTTTCATCTATCTGTTACTCACATTTCTTATAAATTCGGTTTTGAACAATTTTCAAAAGAATCTTTAAAGGGTGGCACATTAGGCTTATCAATCTATAGTCATTACATGATTTGGGATTGTTGTTTTTTGGTAAAGGTAAAAATATCGATTTAAGCCATTCTTCCGGGATGTTGCCCTCTACATATATGTGGTTGAGAATTCGGGTGAGTCTCTTTATATTACCGTCATCTAAGGCTTTTAACAGTTCAACTGGAATTTGATCAGGACCCGGTGCTTTTCCTTGTTTTGCATTCTGTAGGGCGTTCTTTACTTCTGAGGGTAAAATTTGTAGGTATTGTTTTTCTTCACCTATATCTTGTTCATTTTCTCTCTCGTCATGGAAAAGATGGATTATATATTGTTCCCATACTTCCTTTATTTTGCTCTCTTCAGTAAGTATTTCAACATTATTATCTCTTGTTATGAGTGTTCTTCTTTGTCTGGTGTTGTCTGTAAGTTCTTTAAATTTTTTATGTAAGTTTGAGGTGTCTTGTTTGTTGCTGAGTTCTTCCAATCCCTGGCATTCTTTGTTCATCCATTCCTACTTAGCCTTTCTGATTTCATTTTTGATTTTATTCTTGATGGTTTTATATTTATTTTCATCTTTATTTTTGTATTTTCTTTTTTCAGTTATTAGCTCAACTATTTCCGGTGTCATCCAGTCTTTTTTAGTTATTTTCTCTTCTTCGCCTAGGACCTCCTTTCCCGCTTTTAGTATGGCTTTTTTCATATCTGCCCATTCAACGCTTCCTTCAGTTAATTTATTTATCTCTGCGTTTAGTTGCTGTTGGCAGTTGTCGTCTTTTAGGTTTTTGATGTTAATTTTGGTGGTTTTAACTTTTTTCTCCGGTTTCCTGAGTTTAATGTTGACGTTTGCTAATAGTAGATTATGATCCGTATTTGCATCTGCGCTTGGATAGGTTTTTGCACTTTGTATTCCATTACGAAACCTTTTGTTAATCGTTATAAAATCTATTTGGTTTCTGATTATATTGTTGGTGTTATCTTTTGGAGAAGTCCACGTGTATAATCTTCGTAGGGGTAGGTCGTAGTATGTATTTGTTATGACTAATTCTTTCTCCTGGCAGTACTGGACTAGTCTGTCTCCTCTTTCGTTTCTTTTACCTAACCCAAAATTTCCTACTATATTTCCAGTTTTTCCTCGACCGACTTTAGCATTAAAGTCGCCCATAATTATTTTTACCTCCTGCTTCTTTATGTTTTTTGTTAACAGTTCTAAGTCCGCGTAGAATTTTTCGACCTCTGCATCATTGCTATCAGATGTTGGAGCATACACTTGGATTCGATTTATGTTTAGAGGTTTGGCTTTCAGCTGAAGTAGCATCATACGTTCGTTAAAGGGAATGAAATTTGTCACAAACTCTTTTAGGTTATTGTTGATAATAATACCAACACCATGGCTGTGTTCTCCAGTGCTTTTGCCTGAGTAGAAAATAGTATTATTATCCTTGGTGTAGTTTCCAGACTTTGGCCATCGGACTTCTGAAAGGCCCAATACTTGTATGTCTAATCTCTCCATTTCTAACAAGACTGTTGTTAATTTTCCTGCTTCATAAAGTGTTCTTATATTCCACGTTGCTATGCGTTTTAAATCGCTTACACTAAATTTGTTTCTCCACCCGGGGATTCTTCGCACCCCTGTCCCATTAAAGGGACGCCGGGCACTCGGGGCCACTGTTTGATTTACGTCCATTTGTGGTTGTTCTTGAGAATCCTTAGGGATCTTTAATGCAGTAGTTTCTCCTTGCTTTCTGCATCCTTATGCCGTTGATCTTGGTTCATCCGCCTTTGAGATCGATTTCTCAATCTCAGGACAAAAGAGTGCCCTTCCACTTACCAACTCATCCGCCCGAAGCCGTTGGTCAGTAAGTGGAGGTTTGCTTATACCGGCAAACATTCGGTGATTTCGCAGTGTCACAACCGGTTAAATCATAATTACCGCCTGTGATTATTCAGTATCAGACCGGTAAAGAGATTTTCTCTACCGCTCCGATCCTGTAATGACATAGCAGCTGCCCTATGCCATGCTCTCAGTTGATCCGCGGATGTTTATTTGGCAGAGCCTTATTCACACCTGCCCCACATATCTGTAGGACGTTCCCTATCAGCCATTGGGACGCGCCGTGTTGAGGTTGAGAACTACCCCCCTCCGAGTGTGTTTTCCAAGAAGTACTGAAGAGCCCCTACTCAATTCAGAACTCCTCCTTCTTGGAAACTACACCGGCACGGAAAGACTATATAGGAAATCTGATAGAAATAATCAGAAATGGTAAATAAGTGGAAATAACGTTTTGGCATAGCAATCTATATCTTATCTGCAGCAGCGCGGAAAAGCTGGACAGATGTTGTATTGAACCAGACTCTGAGGATCTTTAACCAAGATGTTCTTCTTCTTCCTGGCCTCGTTTTCCAAATATTTTTCCATGCAGGATAGCTTGAAGGAGAGCATATCTGGATTCATTTCGCATAATGTGTCCGAACTTTCGAGATTTGATGGTGGTCAGTACCTTTTGGTTCTTATTCATTCTTCTAAGGCCCTCCTCATTTGTGACCGGGTCAGCCCACGGGATCTTTAATATTCTCCGATATAGCCAGATTTCAAATGCTTCCAGTTTTCTGTACATATCTTCGTTCAACGTACACGATTCAACACCATAAAAAAGGACAGAGAAGACGTAGCATCGCAGCATTCTTACTTTTGTATCAAGAGAGAGGTTGTGAATCTTGAAGAAGGCCCCCAGTCACGAGACTGTTTACAATGTGTTCGTCGCAGTAAAAAAATTAAGAACTGTCACGAGCTAGCTAAAGGCACGGACGGACCAAAATTTGGGTTCACGAAAAGCTAGCGAGCTGCTCGCTAACTGTTCTCAAACAAGACGTCTACTGAGTCTAAATTTCTTTGTAATAAAATGGTTTCTGACAAACTTTTGTGTTCTGAAAAAGTGTGGAAAATGAAAATAGTGGCAATGAAATTTATTCAAAAGTCATTCGGTTTATTGAGAGGATCTCATTTATTGAGAGATTTGCAAATGGAGGATAAGTGGCTATTTAATAATTTTAACCGTATGAGTGTGTCAGATTTTGAAGAATGAATAAATAGGATTGGCCCACTTGTATCAAAACAGAATACGAACTATCGCAAAGCTATACCAGTCCAGGAGCAACTAGCACTGACTCTAGGTTTTTTAGCAACTGAAGATTCGTTTAATAGCCTAATGTACTTGTTCAAAATATAAAAACTAAGTATTTCAACAATTGTAGCCGAAGTATGTGAAGATAAATAACAATAAAAAACAACACGTTGAAATATGTTGGTATAACCCCTAATCTAAAGTAAATAATGAACTCTTTTTGGTTTAAGCGAATTCCAAGACATCCAGGCCGTTTGATTACTAAGTAACTGATTTTTCACGAATAAACCATTTTAGGTTACCGCTATCCAAGCGAACTTTGAGCGAAGAGCGAACTGTTCGCGAACTCATTACGAACTTTTGTCCACACAACTGTTCGCGAACAGAGGCAAAATATATATTCAGCATAGAAAAAAAGTGAATCAGTATCAGCCTCAATTATTTAAACGTACTATATATCTACACTTACCTGTTTTAGCACCACTACAGGGTTTTTATGCTTCAATTCGTCTAAATTATTCAGAACATCTCTGAATATTCGTCTATTTCTAGATCGAATCAGAAAGTTTTGTATTATAGTGGCTGCTTTCTTCTTAAATGTGTCATCAATACTTCTTGTGTATAACTCACATATTGACGTGATTTTCTGAGCCAAATCATTACATTCTATTGCCACTTGATGTATTTGTGAATAATTTCTGTCGGGAATGTATGGTTTTAAATAAATTTCGTGGTTTTCTTGTAATATGCTGAAAGTGTCACTTTGAAATAAGTTTGACATTTCGATAATTGCCACTGAGAATTTTTAATCTTAAACGGTCCCTAGATAGTCAAACGTTGTTTTTAATAACTTGCACAATAATTGATCTTATACAGTTGTACTAGAGGCCCGTAGATCATATTAAAATATTACGTAACATGTTGTGTCAAATAGACTGATGCTTATTGTGCAATTTGCGTAAATATTGCATCGTTTATGGGAAGAGTACACACTATCGTCACAGAATAATAAACAATCAGAATGCTTACTCTCAGATGCCGCCTTTGAAGTTTTTCAGCACGTGCGCCATGTTTTAGAAGGAAAGAAAGGATGATTTGTGAGGTTATGTAATTGTTTATATTTATGTTTAATTATATTATATTTATGTTATTAAATTTAACAATGTTAATATAATTGTATAGTATGTCTATGATTGCCGTAAGTCAATTAAATCCGGTTAATTTTTCTATGCACACCACATAAACAACACTGGTTCCCTCTAAAACATGGCGGAACGTCTGCGCGAAGGAGATGCGCGTACTTAATTTTCCATGGAGAGTGGGCATTCTGATTGTTTATTATTCTGTGCTATCGTTGAAGATATATTTTTGACATTTGAAGTAAAGGCTCCTTTTCAGGCCTTTTCCTTTCCATATTCAGCTCTTTTTTAAAACAAATTTGGACTTTCCACATGCTTTGGTTTTTAAATTTTTTACTTCACAAAAAATTATTGTTTTGATTATTTCTATTTCTGATAAGAAGCAACTGGATTAGGTTATCCACAGATCTGTGTAAATTTTTGCGGAACACTCTGCGAAACACGGTGGTCCGAGAAATACAAGATAATTAGGGTTTTTCGAAAAAAATTCATTGAAATTGTACAGGCCTTGCAAACTCTATCCGTTGAAGGAAATTTGGCCACTAGAAAAACGTCTTATTAGTTGCATTCTGCGGCATTCCAGTCAGGATTTATCGTCGCTGTCATTTTGATTGCAAAATATTCTGAATAGCCTATAGTCAACCGAGTACAATCTGCGCAAACCATCGAGTTAGAATCTAGCGCAAACTAATGTTTTAAAGGCAGCGAAATATATTCGTCAAATCATTGATATTTTTAAAAAACACAAACAGAACGCAGAGAACGTAATAAACACTTTATTGCATGAATCCAATAAGATAGTCGAAGAATGCGGTTTTTATATTATTATCTACTCCTAGAACTGTAAACAAGCATAGAAGCAATCAACCAGCTGATACGTCTAATGAATACTGGAGGCGATCCATGATTCTTCCGTATCTAGATTCTATCATATCTTCTCTAGAGACACGGTTTTCCGAAGAAAATACGCCAGCCTTCGCTCTGAGCCTTTTGCTTCCCAAGCATTTTTTAAAAATGGATTTAAATTGCCTTAAATTAGAACTGAGACAATCCTTAAACCACTATGAAATAGATGGAATAGATGCAGAGCTCGAAGTCTGGGTAGAACATTGGAATAAAAAACGCCTTAATAATGTTAGACAACTTCAACACCCTTGAAATTTTTGAACTGGAACACATCATGATTTTCGCTGTATACCACTTAAAATTTTATAAATTTCATTATTGATTTCTATGCAATGCAGAAATTTTTTGAAGAATAGATTTTCATGAAATTAATAGTAAAGAAATTTTCCATTTGTTGCCAACTTTGTCATACTTACATACTTTATACCTTACTAACAATTGAAAAACTTCTTCCTCTACATGGAATATAAAATATAATCATATTCAGCTATTCGCTCCGTGGGTCTCCCCTCTATTTACAGTCACGTGACACGCTGTCAGATTTGTGAGGACGTTTTAGTATTGAGTCTTATGGGATTATTTTGTTAAACTTAAATATTTTATTTTGTAGTGTTAATATCCAGATACAATTTTTAGAATTAATTAGTTATTTATTTATAGTGACATTTATCATCATCATCAATCAGCCAATCGCGTCCACTGCTGAACATAGGCCTTCCTCAGTTCTTTCCAGTGTTCTCTACACTGGGCCGCTTGTAGCCTGTTTCCCGCTACACGTTTTATATCATCTGTCCATCTAGTCGGTGGTCGTCCTCGGCTTCTTTTATAGTTTCTGGGCCTCCATTCCATAATACGTCTTGTCTTCCGTCCATCTTGTGCTCTGGCTAAGTGCCCTGCCCAGTTCCACTTAAGCGACGTGGTTCTTTCGATGACGTCTTGAACTCCTGATCTTTGCCTAATGTGTTGGTTTGTTATGTGGTCTCGAAGGCTCACGTTCAGCATTACACGTTCCATGGCTCGTTATGTCTCATGACTCTGAGTTTATTCGCAGATTTTTGCGTGAGTGTTAAAGTCTCTGCTCCATAAGTTTGTACAGGTAAAACACATTGGTTATAAACCTTTTGCTTGAGACACATTGGAATTGAACTTTTAGAATATGGCTTAATTTGCCAAATGCTGCCCAAGTTAGGCCTATTCGCCTCTGTATTTCATGTGTTTGATTGTCTCTGCTTATTTTGATTTCGTGTCCCAGATATTTGTAAGTGTCTATTAGTTGTATGGTATTATTGTCAATAGTTATATTTCCACTCATTACGAGATTTGTTATAAGCTTAGTTTTCTTAAAGTTTATCTTTAATCCTGCTCTTTCAGACATACTTTTAAGCGAATGCATCATAGAAACTGTATCTTGTAAATTATCTGCGATTAATACAACATCATCTGCAAATCTTCGGTGATTTAATCTTTCTCCATCTATATTGATGCCCATATCTTGCCATTGAGTACTCTTAAATATTGACTCTAGAACTGCCGTGAACAATTTTGATGAAATATTGTCTCCTTGTCTAACTCCTCGACCTAAGCTGAATTTTTCTGTGTCTTCGTGTAGTCGTATACTTGATGTAGCGTTCTCGTAGATGTTTTTGATTAGTGTCGTGTACCTGTAATCTATTCGGCTTTGATTTAGGGCTTCCAGTATTGTTTCAAACTCTACATAATCAAAAGCCTTCTCGTAATCGACAAATGCAAGAATGTAGCGGGTAGGTACTCTTCCATAATCCCAGTGGAGGATAGACTTACTTCTGGAATGCGATCCTGCCCTACGCGAGCCTTGATTCTCTCTTATCTCCTGTGGAGAGAAATCATGTCCTAACCCCATTGCTACTCAATACCTACTATCCTACCAATTTCCCAAACCAACTCACCAACCCGCCTGGCAAGCGTGGTGTTTAAATGCCAAAACCCCCTCAGCATGAACAGTGACATTTATAGTTCAACAAAAATGTTTTTTGTCGTTAATAAAGATTTATTAACATAATCTGCGAAAGTGAGGTTATATATACATTATAAACATACATGGTACAATGAATATGTTCAGTGTACCATGCACAAAAGCGTCCTGATAAAATTTCAAGCAATCGCCACCATGAGCAGGTCAGTCGATTTTGCTTTAACACTTTGTTAACCCTCGGAGCGAATATCTACATACATACATTAATTCTTTTTAATTTTCACTTCACTGTTTTATTATTTCACTTGCAATTTGTTTACCATGACAAAAAGTGTTTATTAATTTCAAAATTTGGATATATTTAATAAAGAATCGACACAGAAAAATATAATAATTACTTAATTCTAATACTCCATCAGTTTATGTATTTTTCCCTTAATTATCTAGATATTTATTTAAATTAAATATGCTCCGCCAAAAAAGTATCGCATCACTTGTAAAATTACAAATATTTCTGACAGCATCTGGTTAATTTAAATTATTTCTGTCTGGTCCTTAAGAAGATTAAGGCTAGAATAAATATTAAAAAGAACTTTGTAAATACAGCTTACTCTTTAAGAAAAAAAATGTTAATTGCTATTTTGTCTGGTTTTATATTATCAGTCTTTATTTGACTTTTGTAAAAAGTATACAGTTTGCGTTTAATTTAAAATTTCGTATTAAATATTGAGTATGGAGGGTGGACAATATACATTTAAATTTAACGAGAGATCAAGTGGTTAGAACAATTTCCTTCATTGAAGACGGAAGGAGTCAGAGATATGTGACAAATTTAGTGGGTGTAAATCAGTCGACAGTATCCCGAGTGGTAGTAAGGTACTGAAAGACTCCTCTTTATGAAAGACTAGCTGTAACAGGTCGGCCAAGAGCAAGTCCTTTAGACTTTGCGTCGAAGACATGTGACTGCAAGTCAACTTCAGCATGACTTAGCCGAGACTCGAAATGTACGTGTGTCTTCAGAATCTATTAGGCACATCTTAAGACAGTCTGGAATTAGGGCCAGAGTAGCTGCCACTGCCCCGAGACTTACAAGGGAACACTGTATAGCACGTCGAACATTTGCAAGAGAGTACGTAAACTGGAATATCGACGACTGGGATAACATACTCTTTACGGATGAGTCAAGATTTTGTTTATACACTTCGGATCGAAGAATACCAATTTATAAACGAGATGGCGAGCGTTATTTTCAATGCAACCTAAGACCAGCGACAAACTTTGGAGGAGGATCTATTATGCTCTGGGGCGAAATATCTCTTAGGTGTAAAACCGAATTGGTACAGCTATATGGAGGATTCTTAACTGCTGATAGGTACATTAGAGAAATTTTGGAGATGTTGTTCCTTACGCCCCATTTATTAGTAATAACTTTGTTTTAATGCATGACAATGCACGCCTACACGTCGCAAGAATCGAGTACCTTCAAGAGGTAAATTTACAAGTTTTGAATTGGTCAGTGCACAACCCGGACTTAAATCCAACAGAACATGTTTGGGACCATCTTTACAGAAGAGGTCTGGTAATGTGGCGTCAGCTAGTCTTCATGACCTGCAACGGTTGTTAACCGCAGAATGGGATAATATCGATCAAAATTATCTAAGAAGATTAATTGGAAGTATGCCACAACCTTGTCTAGATATTATAAGAGCTAGAGAAGGCAAAACGTTTTACTAAATTATCATTACTTTTGACTTTTATTTTTTTTTTATTCAATGCTGTATGTGTGCTTTCCTCTAATTTATGAAATAAATTAAATAAAACCTTTGTTTTTCGTACATTCTGCATTTTTCTTTTAATACTTGTTACGTACTTAAAAAACAAAAAAAAACAGCAAAAAACAGTAAAAAATCCATGTTTAAATTATTTTTAATAAAAAATTTGCAGTTTCATAGGTGATGCGATACTTTTTTGGCGGAGTGTATATATGTAATGTAAATGCCAAATAAAATATAAAATTCGTTAAGCCGGCCCTTTTTACTATTTACCCGAAGAGGCAAATCCCTTTATGACTTCGACTTTACCAGCGGGATACTTTTAAATTTTGCAAAGTCAGTTCCTATAATTGTGAATGAAATTTACCACTACACTTACATCTACACTACACTACCGCCGACTGTACCATTTTTTGTTCCTGTGACTAATACTAATACTAATTTTATTTTCTAGGTCCCAAACCGCTAAACATATTCTTGAAAGCTATACCTTATCGATTAGCTTTTGGCTTTGTAGCAGCTTTTGTAGTATTTATAACACCAACTTTAGTACCTGACGCTTCAAATGGCCTACCATTTTATTATGTAATATTATTGTTTGCGTGTTACGCTCTTCACCAGGTAAGATAAATGTTTTATTCATGTATATGATGAATGGCGTATAAGATAAACTCAACTAATTTAAAAATATCTAAGATAGAAATACTCATAGAGGAAGTAATTCTAACCATAAGTATAGTCTAAAAAATAGAAAGACTCCGAGTGTAAATCAAATCAGTAATTAAATACATAAATCATCACCATCGTTTTTTGCGTTTATGGCTCAGAGCTGCTAAATTTGTTAGATATTCTGCCCATTAAAAGCAGAAAAATTTTATGTGGTGATTTTAATATTGATTACGCTGCTGTTTGTGCGACCCAACTGTCTTTAGTAACTACTTTTGAATCATATAGTCTCACAATGCACGTTAATTCTCCAACAAGAATCTCAAAAACATCATCCTCGACAATTGATTATGTGGTTTCCGATTTTCCACCCGCTGACGTCCATTCTACAGTTATTAGTGGGGGGCTTTCTGATCATGAAGCGGTATATACCAAGTTTAGCAGTTTACAAACACCTCACTCAAAGACCCGACGATTAGGTAGGATTTTTTCCACTCAAAACTTTCGTAAATTCTATAATTCATGCTTGACTTCTGACTTAAGTTTTTTCTTCTGGGGACATTGACTGTAATGTTAGTGATTTTCTAAATAGATTTGTATCTATTTTTAATAAAGCATTTCTTCTATTAAACATCAGGCCAAAACATACCAAACCTTGGATTACCAAAGGCATTCGCATATCTGCGAAAAATATGCGTTCTCTGCTATATATTAAAAAATTTAATGACAGTATCCCCATCTCTGATTATATCAATAAGTACAGAAAATGCTATATAAAACTACTCAAAGTAGCCAAAAAATCCTACTTTCATAATCGCCTAACAAGCTCCAAAAATATTTCAAAAGAAACTTGGTCAATAATAAACGATTTTCGAAATAAAACCAGTACAGCGAATCAAACCTTTTCTTTTCCTAACCCCGAAGATCTAAATGATTACTTTGTTAATGTGAGTAAAAATATAACCTCAACTATTTCGCCACAACAAGATCCAGTTTCCTCTCTCTCTAATTCAAAAAACATTGCTGATACCTTCTTTTTAAGACCAGTTGATAAGACGGAACTCATTTCAAGAATTCGTAGTATAAAAAAGCACATCGTCCTGTAGTACAGATCGATTATCTATTAAAATTTTCTCAAATCTACCGCATAATGTTTTGGAGGTCATGGTCTCGCTAGTAAATGATTCCCTTGAAAAAGGTACATTCCCTAACTGCCTAAAGACTGCCATCGTCATTCCTCTTCATAAAGGTGGAGAAAAATCTGATGCCTGCAACTATAGACCTATTGCCTTGTTACCAGCACTATCAAAAATTATTGAAAGACTTATAAAAGTTCGACTTATGCCCTTTCTCATGTATATCTATCACTAAACAGTAACCTCTCTTCCGCCATCGTTTTCTGCGACTATTCCAAAGCCTTTGAATGTGTAAATCACGACATTCTATTAAAAAAATTAACTTTCTATGGAATTCGGGGTGTGTCTTTGAACTGGTTCAAAACTTACTTGGTAGGTAGGAAACAATTGGTTAGAATAAATGACACCGACTCTAGTTGTAAAGATATTGAGTGTGGAGTACCGCAAAGTTCAGTATTAGGTCCCATTCTTTTTTTACTTTTCATTAATGACATCACTTACTTGAAAATTAAAGGGAAACTTTTTCTATTTGTTGATGACACCAGTATTACTTGGAGCAGCTCTGATATTTCAACGCTTCATTCAATTATAACCGCTGATTTACTTATAATCAAGGCTTGGTCAGACTCCAACTTGCTTAGCTTTAACGTGGATAAGACTGTAGCACTATCTTATAAAGGAGTCATGCAACCCTTGCTTTTGAATGAGAGCCAAATCAATATCGTAAATTCCGTGAAATTTCTAGGTATTCTCATTGACAGTGATCTCAAATGGTCCTTGCATACTGACTCCTTAAGGAAGAAACTAGCCTCAGCTTGCTTTGCAATAAGATCTGTTTCGAAGGAACTAAATTTATCTTGTGCCAAAATGGCATATTTCTCATTGTTCGAGTCCCATCTTCGATGTGGGCTTCCATTTTGGGGTTCTAGTACAGCGGCCCAATTTGATACTATTTTTAAGTTGCAAAAAAGAGCAATCCGTTATTTATTTGGTCTCAAACAAACAACTCATTGCAAGACTTACTTCAAAAATCACGGAATTTTGACGCTTCCCTCTCTATTTATTTTGGAAACGGTTTGTTTGATTCGAAAGCATCTAAACATTTCTCCCGATAGACCTGACCATGGCTACTCCATTAGAAATTCGGATTGTAACGTTTATTTGCCGATCCCGTCCACTCAGCTAGTAAAGAATTCTATTCTATATCGTGCAAACAAACTTTATAATCACCTTCCAAGAGAAATTAAATCCGCAACATCCTTCATTAAGTTTCGTAAGGTGACAAAAATCTATCTCTCATAAAGACCATATTATTCAGTTCACGAGTTTCTTAATGTATGACAAAGAAACAAAATTAGTATTGTTTATAATTACATTTGGGTGTCTCAAGCAGTGGCTACAATTTGTCTCATTTGTTGTTGTCTGTACAAATTATATAGGTTATACAATAATTTTACTAATTTAAAATTGTGTTTTTCTGTTTTTTACTATATTTGTTTTTGTTTTATACTTTTTGTACTATTTAACTGATTTATTTTTAGCTTTGTCCATAAAATTGTTCAATAATTTTCAGTGACAATAAAGCATATTTCTATTCTATTCTATTCTATTCTATGGCTATGTGGGATCGGCGTTCCTAATTACATTCTTCCATAAATTTTTATCTTGCTTCACATCAATATCAATCCTGTTCGCATAAATTTTTTACTTAACCTTCTATTGCATAAATTTTAAACATGAATACTAAAAATCATTTCTTGTTTTGACAATATAGAGTAATTTTTGAGATGCCACCCTTTTTAGAAAATATGGAATATGTACTATAGGAACATTATACAATAGCATTACTTATAATAATGAAAATTCTTAAAACAATTAGAAGTTGTAGTGAGACAAAGAAATGTTTGACATTTTTGGCATTGAACTTTGGGAGTTCCTTTACAATTAGGTTGTTTACCCCGCCAGAAACGAGTTCTCAATTATCCCATTCCTACATCAAGGTTTACACCAACTGAGCGCAGTCGCATCAGTCTCACCATCGCCACCTCTACTGGCGTGATGAACAGCTGGTGTTGTTTTCATGGCACCTGTTATATTTATGAAAGCCATCCGCTGAATAAGGTTTAGTTTGTTAATCACTGTTGCCTGTAGCACTTTTGATACCGAAGCAGTAGCTCCGTAAATTAACATTGGTCTAATGACAGCAGTGTAGACCCAGGCGATCACTGTGGGCGAAAGGCCCCAGTTGAGTCCGGCCGTTCGTCGACATTGTGACCATCTAAGTGTGAGTTCCATGTTTTCCTGCCAAAGAGTAATTTAGATTGTAGTTTAGAATCATTGGGGGTATTAAGCCCATAATTCTTCTTTTTCTGGTTAACAGGACCATCTTTGTCTCCTTATGATATATATATATATATATATATATATATATATATATATATATATATATATATATATATATATATATGATCCTTGACTACTATCTGATCTATTTCGAGCTGCTGTGAATAGAATAATAGAGAATGGGTCAATGTGGTCGCCAACATAATATAGAAGATAGGCACAGTTAGAAGAAGAAGATTGTTCCTTACACCATGTTTCTATTAGTCGTAGAGCAACTTGTAATCTCTCACATAGTGTGTTCTCAAATGGACCGCTTTGCAGGACAGCAATATCGTCTGCATAGGCTATTTGTGTAGAACCCGTTGCTGCTGAGTTGTTCATCCAGGGTATCTAAAACTATATTCCAGAGGAGTGGTGATAGCACCCCTTCCTTTGGACACACCCTCATAGCCATGCCTAACAGAAACGTGTTCTACATTTATGCTTATTGCTCTATTAGAGAGCATACTGAATATCCATTCGCTTACGGCTTAACCATTGAACTGTTAGGTGATAGTTGGGAATGTATCAGAATGTATCAATGGGATAGCATTTGTATCAGTTTATGCGGATGACTCAACAATGCTATATCGCGATAAAGACATAAATTTTTTACAAGATAAAATAACAAACTCTCTGAAGACCTTCTCTGATTGGTCCAGTAATCAGTCGCTCCTGTTCAATGTTCACAAAATTAAATTTTTATCATTTACATCACGTTCAAATTCAACTAAACCTGGTTTAAGTATTTCCATCAATGGTGAGGATATTTTGAGTTGTAGTGATGTGAAGTTTTTAGGAGTGACTTTCGACTCTCATTTATCTTTTAAGACTCATTGTTGGAATGTATGTAAAAAACTCAATTCTAAATGTTATCAATTGAGAAATTTGGGTAGAATACTTAGTCTGCAACACCTTCGTCTTTTTTATTTTGCTGAGGTACAATCGACAATAAGTTACGGTATAACTGTCTGGGGTGGTTCTTCTAGTGTAAAGGACGTTTCAAGGCCCAAAAACGTATTGTCAGATGTATAGCAGGTGTTCCGTATGGTTGGTCTTGTAAAAACCTATTTAGAGATTTGAATATATTAACAGTGTATGGAATTTACATTTTGGAATTATTGATACTAATTCATAAAAATAAAAGAACTTTTTTATGTAACAGTGATATTCACTTACACAACACAAGAAATAAGAAACAGTTTGTAGTACCCAATCGACATTTAGAAATAAGCAGGAAGTCATCTACTATCTGTGGTTTACTACTGTATAATCAACTTCCTCAAAATTTTAAAAACATTAATTCAACTATAGCTTTTAAAAACCAAGTCAAAGAGTACTTAGTGACCATGTGTCCTTATACATTAGGTGTATATTACGAGGGTGTATCTGTGAATGCCTAAGCTGCAACGTAACCAAATTTATTAATATTTTAATTATATGTCTATATTGTACGTTTTTGAAGTATTTTAATGTCTTAAATATTTTTAATGTATTGTTTCCATTTTTTGTAATATTTAATATTTATAATTTTAGTTTTGACTTGCTGTAAACCTAGTTGTAACATACAGTCAAATAAACTATCTATCTATCTATCTATCTATCTATCTATCTATCTGTGGTTTTATCAAACGCTCTCTCAATGTCTATGGTGGATTCTTCATTATTCAATTCTTCTCACTACTTGATGCAGTGCAGAATCGGTAGATCTCCCCGAAGTATATGCATGCTGATTTGGGTGAAGTGAGTTATGGACCAGAACTTCATCCCTTATGTACCTCTCGCTTAGCAATCTTAGCGTTTAATTCAAATTTTTTTATCAAATATGTTCTTAAATTTTTCATAAGGTTATTTTAATTATTTTTAGGTGTGCGTGTATTGCATGTTTGTTGCACAAATGGCATTTTTTGCCAAAATCAGTGACAGTTCAGTCGGAGGAACGTATATGACGTTATTGAATACCCTAACGAATCTAGGAGGTAATTGGCCGGCTATGCTTGCCCTCTATTGGGTTGATCCGTTGACGTGGAAACGGTGTGACGGAGGAGCTGAGAGTATAGACAATATATGTAGGAATAACGAAGAAAAAGTAGTAAGTAAAAATAAACTGATTTTGCAATTATTACATAATCGCTTAAAGACCGTATATATTTTAACTGTTTCACCGTCGTGGTATTTCCGCCACCTCTTTAGTACTATTTAAGAGTCACACATTACGGTCATATTTAGGATCCAGTTTTGTAGATATAGGGCGTCACTATATCAAATAAATTGCATCAGAATTGTAACAAGAATGTTACGGAGATTATTTAGATTTAAAAAATTTACAATAAATATGTGTGTATAATATTTATATTTTTCTTTTTTAGCTATGCGAAAAAGTAGGAGGCAAATGCGTGACAGTACTTGACGGTTTCTATATAGAAACGCTTATCTGTGTTGCAATAGGATTTTTATGGTATTTATGGGGAGCAAAGAAAGTACGATATCTGCAGCAGTTAGGTGACAACGCTTGGAAGCTCAAGAATAAAAAATCCCAAAAGAGCTAGCTTCTTTGGAAAACTGATAAGACTTTTCACGTTTGTAAATACGATTTTTGTATTCCAATTGAATAAACCGAGAACTGGAAGATAAGACACAAATAATTTCTATTTTTATATGATAGATTTTCAGTTTATGTTTTGTTTAAATTATTTTCTTTTTGTTAGTGAATGTTTACAAAGTGAACACTATCGAATTTAAGTTAAATTAAATTTTGATGTATGATAAATAATTTGTGACTTGTTATTAACAGACCAGAAGGAATTGTCCTTGAAGTATGAAAAATATTCCGAGATTCTCGATAGTATCAGACGAAACAACTTAAATAAAGCAAAAACATTCTTATATGTTTATCCCAATATTTAAAAATGTATTATCTATACAACGCCACTGAAATAAATTCAATGTGACTTGACCATACAACTATGGTCAAAATTTTTAAAACCATTCTTTATAAGAATATTTAACAATGTTGTTAGAAGTTTGCTACTTTTTTAAACATCCCATCGGACCTGGACGCTCGAGCTTTTATATAACTTTTATTATTGTTTGGAAGACTCTACGCAGAACACAACTGCGATGGCAGAATACGATGAAGACGGAGCAATATCACCAATTAATATTTCCCACTACAGTATAGACATCAATACATATGCGCCATCTATATTTGTTGACAACCAATTGAGAGCAAGGTAGTTTTCGTTGACCATGTTAGAGACAATCTTCTTAGTTGAGGTTGAGGCCATCTGCTTCTGAAATAATGAATTTATTCAATACCTTTCCATCATACTCCAGTACATAATTTTGGTTAACCCTGTATAAATAAATATTCGAATAATACATCGTTGCAAAGGCGATTAGGAGACCTTTCAAATGCTCCATGACCTCGACAAAAAATTGTCGATTACGTCATTATGCCAAAGATGATGATCTAATTTTTAACACACATATAGCAATTGACGGCCATTAAAAAATTAAAATTAACGTGTTTTGATAGTTTTTAAGTCGTCCATTCTGAAATAATGAATTGATTCTATACTTTTACATCATACCGTATATCAGAAGAACCGTACATCACTACAAAGAGTAGGATGGTCGTTAATAAATCCAAAGGACATGTTTTTATTAGAACATCTAGGATTGTACAATATACACTGCGAATCTTTTGATCAAACATATATAGGACAAACTAGTCGACAAATCTCTATCAGATTATACGAACTCAACCTAACTCTAAGATAAGCTTATCTTCTTACTCTTATTCACACACGAATATTCCACACCACACTATAAGACCAATATGAGAAACCATAGAAATAAAAGCATAAGAAAGCCACATTAATAGAGATGACGGGACGAGATGCCACATAAAGTAAAAACATTCTCTAGGTGCGCCGAAAAAAAAATAATAAAACAAGTTTTTATTAGCGTAAACATATCTTATGTGCATAAATTGCAAAAAACATTGAAAATGTTACATAAATAGATTATTCTTTAGCAGAGTATAAAGGTGTGTAGGAGAGAAGAAGAAAGATGTAGGAAGATGAAAATATCGCAATTATCTTCAGAGTATGAGATTTCAGGTTTGGAAAACCTGCTTTTGACAGGGTCTTGTAGAGCACAGTGTTACATTGCAAAAGTTCGAGCTCCAATTCTGGTTTTACTGATTCAAAGTTCACATTAAACGGAATGCTGAATGTCCATGTCCTTTTTGTTAACTTTGAAGTCTTGGAATCTTCGCTGCAAATGTAATAGTTTATAGCTTTGTAAAATAAGTAAGGTATTTATTGCCTAATTGTTTAGAAAATATATTCAATTGCGTTTTGAAAACCCTAATATGACCCCAAATATCATGGATTCATTGATTTTTCCCTGGAGATAAATGTTCAATTCATTGATGTGACTGAAAAGGTCTGTAAAAAAAAGTCCGAAACTCATAAAATATCTTGATAAAATGAAAAATGTTCACAATCATTCATTCCATTTTCTTCCATGAAAGAGATTATTTCGTTTTTAACATCCCAAACGCGATCAAAAACTTGGCCTGCACTTAGCCATCTTACTTTAGTGTAGTAAAGTACATGCGAATACTCAGACTGCAATGAATCAAGAAAGTCTTGAAATTGTCCATGATTGAGAGCTCGTGAACAGATGCTATTAACAAACTTAATAGCAGCATCAAGTACATGTTCCATGTCTAGAGCAGATTTATACAGGGCTTCTTGATGTATGACACAATGAAGAAATACTACTTCGATTCCAGGAAATGATTCCTTAGACATGCCTAGGAAACCAGATATTGCCCCTGTCATATTTGGTGCTCTATTGGTAGTATAAAGTACTTTAAACTCTCTAACTTTTGACTCCAATTGTGAGACAAGCTACCTATCGATTACTTTAATCCTACAAGTAATTGTTTTTTGGGACAAATTTACTGTCTCAAAGTCTTTTTTTCGTCAGGACACAATACTTCACATACTTGGACGATACAAGTTTTTCAAATTATTATGTTTTGTCATGGAGTATCAGGAGAGGTTGAATTCCTTAAATACGGCTACAGCCTCATTGCAAATTGGGCCCACAATTTTATCCTTAGTAGACATGAAAAAGGACTTCCAAGTTCACTCATCTTTAAAAACACGTTATTCAAAAATATCACAAAACACTACAAACAAAGGAAAACTATAGAAACAGTTTTCACAGAAAATTATCGATGCACACAGCCTCCGAGATGGATTTTATGCCTACATGACTGTTTAAGTGATCGCAATAAACAGAATTGACCTTGAGAAAATGTGAAACTACAATGGTAGTGCCCTATACGTTGCGAACTTAGCCGAACAACGCACGCATTATACTCAACATCTGTCACCCAGAGGACGGTGGTGGTGGGAAAACGCAAAGATCGAAGAGGCTCAGTGCTATTTCTGTTTCACCTGTCGTGCAGTTCATTGTTTTACTACTTGACCAACATGACTGTGAGAACGTGCTTGCTTAATTAAGTGCAATGGCATCATCTTTCAAATGGACTTGTAGTTCCAAAAGACTGTTGCAGGGACAGGAGCGAGAAATTATGTAAAATGTTTATTATAAACATTTAAAAATGCCTGCTCTAAACTATCAGCCAGCTTGAAAGTCTCCAGTTAGAAAACCCAATACTGAAACTAAAAAGAAATATATATATATATATATATATATATATATATATATATATATATATATATATATATATATCCGGTTTCTTAGGCGTTACGCCCGTCCGGTAGGGATCTATGGAGGAGTATCACCAAGCCGCAAGCCCTTATCTCTTGCCGTACTGCTCCACCATAGGCCGATCAGATCCCAGCATATCCTAGTCTAAGCCGCAGATTCATCTAGAATTTTAAACTGCTGCGTTAGACTTTTTGTTTTCAGTACACCGAGCTGGGGCTCGAACCCACATCCACTGAACCATTCGACAATGAAGCGAATGAGAGGCAGCCGCACAGCCCGCTGAGCTATCCGACCGACAAAAAAAAAAGAAAAATATACAGTACTTAAACCTAAAGGCAGAAGCCACATTTCAGGTTTCAGTTAAAGTCAAATTGTAACCTTACTTATGTGTCACACTTGTACTTTCCCTATTTACAGTATATTGGTGAAGTTATCGGAGGGGTTGGTTGTGAGATATGTCGAGTAAGAATATGGTAGAAAGATGTGCCACTTACATTAAAAGTGGACGTTTTTTTTTACAAAAATTCTAACTTGATTATGTTCGATCTTTTTTGTTTTTGGTGGCCCTGTATGAAGTTTTAACATTATTTAAATAATTTTTTTCCAGTTCTTGGTCTAAAGCTTCGGTTTAGCATTAAATTGTTATAAATTTGTTTTAAAATTGTTCTCATTTTTAATACAATAATATTTCGTATTATTTTAAGTTCCTTTCAAAAAGACGGCGTGATGGTCACAAATGTGGTATATATTTGAAATACATGTACCTTCCAAAAAAATATTGTCTGATTCGTATGCATTTCTGTGTTCGACCTATCTGACAAGTCCCAATAAGGAGAAATATGTTATGATATGGCTGAATCACAAACTTTTAGGCAGAATATATAGTATTCATGTCTTCTATTGCGTAGTATGTTGATTTATATAATATATTGTGAAAACGGCTGTCTTATTTATAGTGTAGGTTGATGGAAACCTAGGGAAATACGAATATAAAAAAATACAAGATTGTGAAAATATAGATCAATTCAACATATTTTCGTTAAAAAAATGCGGAATATCTATTAATTTTATCTTAAAATCACTTAAAAAAATTCAGATTTTTTAAATTTTAAGTCTGTCATGATAGTTACTATAATGCGATGTTGCCAAAACGACTAACATTTCTGAACATATGCAGTTTAACATGTGGCTGTAAATTTTCTTAAAACTTTTCTCATAAGTTAATTCTAAGGTGCTGAGTCCAAATAGGACATTCTATCTCGTTGGAAATGTTTAGTTCCCGAAATTTAATCTAATCAAACCACAAGTCACCCAATATTGTCCGCTCGGACTCAAATTTTATTCTTTTTTTATCGATCCGTTTATTGATTGCCGATATTTCCGTACATCAGCAATGTAATTGAAAGCAATACCGGATTAAATGGATTAATTTTTTTCTATGCCAACCTAATCTAAACTAACCTCACGTAATGAAACCTAACCAAAAATTCACTAAGTTACGTAATCTCGAATTGTATTATTTATCTCACCGATCAATATTGACTGCCGATATGTCAATGCACTAGACATGTTGCTTTTTTCTAAGCTAACCCAACTTAACCACTTACTTAACCCAACTTACTTAATCTAATTAAATTAATTAATCCTAACCTATCTTACTATAACTAGCACTAACCTTTTTTAATCTTTATCGACAGAGGAGGAGGAAATGTGCAGTCACTTTCAACACTTGCATTGTCCCTACGTCAGGACTGAGTCTCCGGGGTGTAATTCTAAACACTTCATTCCGCCACCTACACAATATGGTCGGCTTCAAACTAAACTTCCCCACTATCACTCTTGACGTCAAGGTTGAACCATCAGTTATGGAATAACGTTTCTCCTATCATCCGATACCCTTTCTTATATTGCATATATTATATTCCTCCTGAAAAACTGAACGTACACGATGGCGAACCTCAGCCTTTGAACTCCTTGCCTTTCTCTTTTTCACTGGTCATTATTTCGGAGCCA